GTAGAATCGAGCTATAGATAGGTATTGAAGCACAATTATTCACGATCATTAAAATAATATACCGATATACTCAGATAAATTTTAAACTTATCGTGACAGTCGAAAGCGGTTACAAATTTACAATACCCATTGTAATTATTAAAAAGTGCGACCACCAATATTAAAATAAACAATGTAAATAATAATGATAATATTAAAAACATGTTGTAATTATAAAGTAATACAAAGTGCGCTACGATTATTGTGGAGCTTAGGTCACAAACGCACGACGGAAAAGTGAAAACGTTAAACAAACGGATACAGGCGGCAATTAAATTTAAAAGGTAATCGGTCGTATATTACTGGATTATAAAAATGTTTACGGTTTTTTAATTCATACATGGTCGTGTGATTTATATAATAAAATCGTAATGCGTGACCACTGACCACGACATCGACGATCCGAAGCAAAGGTAATGTATGATAAATAATAATATAAAACCGATATAGTCAAGCTCCATTCAAACACATATTTTATTTTTTTTTTATTATTATTGAACTTAAGCCCAATAAAACACATATTATTATATTATTTGGTACTTATTAGGTATAATATTTGAAACCCGTTAAATTGAACGAAGTGATCAATCCAGCTAAAATGGAAAACCTATCGATTTATAAAGTGCCCGAATTCAGTTTTATCAAACACGAATTGTTTTTCCCTATAACAAAATTAGTAATAATCTTTGTTACTAAAGTAATTTCAATTTACTTAATAAATATTATATATAAAATAAAATTGTTAAAATAAAATTTATACCTACGTAGATAGACAAAATAAAATAACTAATAGATATACTAATTGTTATATACAGATGACAATACAGTAGTCACAATAACTCAAAAAACTAGACAACTCGATTTCTTTTAATACCCATGAGATTAGGTTAGGTTCAATTTGAGTTAGTATCTCGAAGCGATTTTTTTTATCTTCATTCAACTACGAGTTATCTCAAGTTGACTGTAAATTTAAAATTCAACTTAATGGACACGTACCTATGGCTAAAATGTAAAATTAAACTTGAAATAAATCTATGTTATGAATCACATTTTTTATGAACAGTGAGGGTGACGATTCCGTTAGAATTATTCGAATAGGTATTTGATAAATAAAATAATAATTTTTTTCTAGATCTATAGCAGTTGATTTGATTATAAAATGCAGCTGTTCAATTGTATATGTCCCGGACAGTCCAAAATATTATTATTATCTGAAAATAAGCTTATTATTATTCTATTTTGCATATACGTCGTACCTACTCGGCATCATAAAATATAATATCTCATCTCATTTCACTATCGATTGTCATTTGGTACTTGTAACTTTTTAGGAATGTCGTCGATATAGTCTTCGGCTGGTGTGTTGAACACGTATTTAAAACTGTGCACTATTCATTAACTATATATTGTACGTATCACGTCCGTTTGAATATTATCATCGGTGTTTTAATTATACGACAGTGGAATGGCATATGTGCATGCGGGCGAGGCGAGAAACCTCGCGAGTCTTGTGTGACACAAGCGCGCGAGGGCAAACTGTTGTTATTGCTCGTCTTTAATCCCATTGCGAGGACCATCGTTATGAGACCGTGATGAAAAAAAAAAATTATAAATTAAATATTATGAAAAACAACAACACCGTCAAACGGCAAGTAACTGGCCTCATAACAAGTGTACGTACCTACCTAGCTACTGTTTAATAATAATACAGAATTTTTTTAACGCGATATAGTGTAAGTTTTCCGAGTTTTTAAATCGATGATAATTCAGCGGTCTAGTTAACCCACTTAAATTGCTCAAAATAATTTCAAATTAGGGAAATAAATGTTATTTTATATTTATAATATTATTTCATTTATGAATTATGCTAATTGTATGATACAAATGAGTATTATCCGATTATGCACTTCCCCCGTGTAAAGTTCCACAAGGGGAATGTGCGACATGTTTTATGGGGAAAGTGCGACATGCCTTATTTTGTTAAATAGTTAAAAAGATTTTATAAACATTGTTTGTGACTAAAAAATTTATGAAGTACAAATATTCATTATTAAATATGTAAATAGTTGACAGTTAAACTTTGAATATGTGTTAAATTATATCAACCAAAAATTTAAAAAAAAAATATGTAGGTATTAACTATAAATTTAAAAAAACTGATGGTCTGTCAAACCTTGATAAAATTAAATAATTGAATTCTTTCAACGGAATTTCTTTGATGATTTTCATTAGTTTATGGCACTTTCCTCGGCCAAGGAATAGCTTGTATACAACTGCATTAAAAGTACCGGTTTTGCACTTACCCCGATAGCAGGGAAAGTGCGACACTTTTTTTTTATTGATTAATTTTTTTTCAACTATAAAAATTATCACAACTTTTTTGAATACAAATTTGAATTCCTGATAAGTTTATTAATGGATGATAAAATACTTTGTTCCACGTAAGAATACAGTAAGATGGTATGTTCCATTAAACTGAGATTTTGCAAAACCACGTCGCTGTTACCCCCACCAGACCTTATTATTTTAGTTGAGAAATTACATTAAAGATTTATTAATTAATAAATATAACCTAATTAGTAATAACTAATAAATTACATTATTTATAATATAATTTAAAAACAAAATATCTATTTTTTATCTACATAAATGTATGTGTATTTTTATATTTATCTAAATAAAAAAAAATTGTTATATTTTATATTATCTAGATAAATTTTGAATAAATTATCTGTTATCATATCCAGACGATTTTTTGGTTATCTTTTCCCAACACAGGTGATAACTGCAGTCACTATATTGTAAAGTATCATTAAATTGGGTCGTTGTAACTTTATGCTGTGCAGTGCAATGATTATTATCGTTTACCTTACGCAACCCGCGGTGCATGTTTTAATGTTTAATTCGAAATAAATACAATTGATTTTTTTAATCGAAAACTAAAACATCCGCATGGTTTCATAATGCAAATAATAATAATAATGGTCGAGCGCATATTATTATATATTATATTATTATACACTGAGACTGGGGGGAAGGACGTTTATTTTATCCGACGAAAATAAGTTATTTTTTTCTATCGACTACGGTACGACTGAACGAGTCACGATTAATTTTTATGGTATTTGTTCTGACAGAGATGAATGTTTAAAAAATAATAGTTTTGTATTTTAAACATTAATTTTGTTTGAAATACATTGCCAATTTGTTTTGCACCTATATAAAATACACTCACCAATGATTTAATGACCCACATTATACTTTATATTACTAATATAGTAATATTTTATACCAAAATACAACGTAATACACTAGCACAAAAATACAAAATATAATAATATTACCATTAAATATTATAGGTAGGTACTTCAAAACAATATATTAGATGGTATTTTACGGTATACTGTAAATGATGGTTTTTTACGGTATAGATACCGTTTAACAAAATAATTTTAAAAGACCGGTATACCAAAAATACCGTCAGCCCTATTCGGCTATGCTAATATAAACAATCAGTGATCATTTCATGGATCTTTGGTAATTTGTTTTAGAGTTACACAAATTCGGATTTTGTCGAAAACCGATTTTGCGTAAAAATTTCAGTTTTTCCTTAATTTTTCTTTTCTTTTTCCCGCTCTTTTGAAAACTATTTGTTACTTTTAACCCCCCTCAAAAATACCAACTAGATTCACTTTCCTATCAGAAAAGATATTGTTGAAGAAAATCTAAGCATTTTTACTGTCCTAAAAGGTGATGACAGACAAAAAAAAATGTTTAATTAAAATTAAAAAAAACACACATCATTGTAAAATCAATACAATTATCGCTCCGTTCAGAATCTAAAATATTATCTAGGACATCTAAAAAGATTATTTTTTGATTTATCAATTTTGAAGAATGTTATTAAAATGTTTAAACTTTAAATTTTAATTAGACAGAGTACACTACTTAATAATAGCTAACAACTAATTTATCTAGCTAAAATAAATTAAAACAAAACTTTTCTAATATATTTGACGTATTTTGAGCAACATTTGACATTTTAGATTATTTTTTAGTTCTTTTTTGTCATAAATGTCGATTAAAAATGTGATGCAAGGTTAAATTCTTTGAAAATGTAATACCAGGTCCTTCATGTGTGGTTCACATTATAGTATTATACTAATTAATATAATTTATCAAACATACATACATAGTCACACAAAATATGTTTTTTATAAGCAGTTTAAGATAGAAATTTGGAAATTGTTTTGTAGTTAAAAACCCATACAATTTATTCATGTAGGTGCCCAAGATTTAAAAAATGTAATACAAAAAGAATGTAATACAAGGTTCCTCGTAAGTTCTTACAATCTTACGCTGGATTCAAACATTTCTGTCTTTAAATTAAAATAATATAATTATTGTTATACTTATATCTATACCCATTACCCAATAAAGGGATTGTTTTCATTTATTTTTTATTATTAGGTATATGTTGAAAATAAAAATTAGTCTTCTTTATGTAAAATAAAAATAAATAAATTGTAAAATTAATGTTTTGGCCGTTTATTATTATATTTTGTTGTAATGGATTTTGATTGGCTATTTATCATATAGCATTAGTATTGTCTAAACAGTTTAACTTTCGATAAATTGTCATTCGATTTTCTCGTGTTACATTATTGTGTAAAGTTTACTATTTTCAACAAAATAACATATCTGAGACTTTGTGTTCGAATGTGGCGCCAAGACAAATGGGCGTGATGGAATCTAATAAGACAGACATCTGTAAGTTGAGTGTCGGAGGCGTGGAAGGACTACAGCAGCTGTGTGCAAAGTGATATCGTAAAGCCAAAAATACAACTAGTTTTGCAGCTGCAGGTAGCAAAGAGACGTTTACGTGAAGGTTGCAACACGCGGGTTGTCAGACGTATTGGCAAAAGATCTACGTGCGGCGGCCGTGCGCAGATCGTTGAACTATGTGCATTTTCCTCGACTATATTGGAGAAAAGCCTTTTGACAACATTGCGATAACGGAGCATGGTACCGCAGGTTTCCGGCAGTCGATCACTGTAGAAATCTTACCGGACTTATGTCATCTGCAATCCACGGACTGTGTGCAGATATGTGATCATGATATTGTAACGCCGGAAATCCAATCTGCAATTCCTGCCTGCAGTGATGCCGGCAAACTAATGACGATGTTGTGATCGATGGAAATGTTGACCGGCCAGAAGCAGCAACAGCTATTTGACGACCTAGGATAGGAGCCGATAGGATCGGCTTTAGAGAAAAGACTCCTCAAAGTCGGTAGGATGTTATGTTGCTGGTGCAGCGCAGTACCATCCGAGATACTGAATACCGATGAGTTCGACAGCCAGCTCTTCAAGAAAACCCAACAATTAGTTAAGGTTTGACTGAAGAAAAATCTTCGTTTTTCATAATTATTATTATATTTGTTTGTTATATATTGTGTTATTTACCAAGGTAATTACCCTGACGATGACGTGTTATAATTATTTAAAATATGTATTAAATATTTTGCTATTAAGTGCATTCAAGTGGTACAAATGAGGTCTTAATATTATAAACAATAATTATTGTAAGTCAAATAGACAATAGTTGACAATTAATCGAATACACGGATACTCAATTTGGTGCAAATTATACACTATTTTCGACTGCTAATTTGTACACTATTTTTGACCTACGACGGTGCAAACTACATGCCTTTATTTTTGTTGCAAATGAGTCAAATTATTTTTAAGTTTTAAAGTAACCAAGCTAAGTTCAATTACTTAGCACACTATTTCAATATAAATGATATTCATGGTTCCAAGACTTAGCTAGATCACAACTTTTAGAGCCTTTTTTTTTATACTTGGCGTTTTTTTTTTTTTGCATGGAGTGTTTTTGTTGGGATAATATCATAGATCTATTGACTAAAATATCTAGTTAAGTAATAGATCTGTGAATAATATATAAATATCTAACTTATAAGAATAATATTATAGACTTGACAAATGTGAGTGTAGCGTTCTGTTGGTAATAAAATAAAATTTAAAAACGTGATAAATACCTAACCTAACCTAACAATGTTAGTAACAATACATTGTATAATTACATATTTTTGCACTTTTGCATATTTGAAGGACTTAAACATATGACTATAATACCTATTGTATAAAAACGATGAGTCTTTGCGTCAAACATACGTTGACGGATGAATGATCCCACCCCTCCGATGTATACCTAGGTATCAGAGTAACACGAAACACACTCACACTCTCGTCAAACGACACGTCGTAGTCTTGCCCCGAAACACTGACTTGCTAATATAATAATGATATTATTGCTGTCGCCGTGGCGCCGACCACGCAACGTCTGTAAAATGTGTTTAAGAGGTAGTCAGCAAACAATGGCGCTCGTCGTCGCATGTTATTAAAATATTATATTATTATTATATCTTCTGTACAATAGCTGAGGTATGTGTGTCATTCGTAGACGGACATAATCTGACGATTATTGCACTTTCCACGCCGCCGCCGCCGCCGCCGTCTATTCCAAGACTATCCGCCTAAACGACCGCGCTGAATATTTTATTTTTTCTATATATTTTTCTATTTCTTTTTTCTTTTTGTACGACGAACGTCGCTATTATAATACGAAATATTAATATCGTTACCATTTCGATATCTCCGCATCGTCTCACAGTCGACTGTTCTGCCACGAGTTATAATATTGTTATATTATTATCACAGTTGTTATCGTTATGACTGGAGATGGGAGACATCATCGATTACGTCTATAGCATCGTACAATAATATTGTAATTTGTAATTATTATGTAGTGTATCGCGTGTCCGTGTGTGTGTAGCGGACTCGCGTTTGGGTGTATGAGTGCGTGAAATAAAGACTTTTAATAATTGGACGTTATTTAAGCTGTTCGATTCGACATCAATTCGGTGAGTGATACAAATAACAATCTATTTCATAACAGATGTGTATAATAAACTGTATAATATGCGATTGGGGTACCTTTTAGTATAGATACAACATAAAATATGTATACAACATTTGACGCCAGTGTAGCTGATTAAAAAATTTGAAACAATGACGCTGATGACGCTTTTAAACTTTAATGAAATTATCAGGAGATTAAAAAAAAAATCGGATAACGGCGGTATAATAGTATAATAACTCAATTTTATTGGGAAAACTTATGTCATAACATACCTATTAGACAAAATAAGAATGATGATTGAGTTGCGACACTTGACTAAACCGTGCAATGAAAATCTAAATATCACTTTAATAACCTATGACAGGCGTCTTGGATAATATTTGCATTTCTCAGTTTGCACGTTTTGTTTATTCAGAATGAGTATGGTATTAAAAAGCCGAAGCATTATTAACATGAAGAGAGGCACATTGGAAAGCTATTTTAATTGGCTTGTTTTTGTGTTGAATTTCGAAGGTTTTCTCGTTGATTATCAATCGGCTATTACTTTTTAGTTATTTTATATATAGGATACTTCACGCAGTTATTATTGTAATTATGTTTAAACACATTTTTTTCTGGCTTCCAACTTCCTAAAGTTCATTACACTCTAAACCATGAGTCGACAACGAGTCGACTTTATCGTCAATTTTATCCTCGGCCCACGAAGAAAATTTATGATTTTTATAAACACTGCTAACTAAGATAGTATAGATTGAAAACGACGAATTAAAACGTTTGTTGGTATAGACACCGTGTTAAATTAATAAATCCAACAGTCGTCAACTTAAATAAATTCAATTTGATGTGAATATACATTTTTGTTTAAAATGAAATAAAATTATACGAATTTGAAATTTATATTTATTTTTTGGCCCTTGACATTAATTGCCTACCTCTGCTCTAAATCAATAGTGAAAAGTATTTAGTACAAAATATCTAAAAATGAAGTAGGTATATAATACATTAGATAATATTATTATTGTTTTATTTTTTCACTTTGGAAATGAGATTATGAAAATTTTATTTAAAGAAATTTAAACGCGTATTTCTAACATTTTTTTATTCTACTTTAATTAGAGTTTGATATTAATTGTTTAAATAATATATCTGGATAGATAACCAATATTGTTCTCAAGTACCTACTTACCTATAAATAAATCAGAACATGTAAACATTTTAAGTTATTTAATTTATAATGATAATATTATGTGTGCAATATTTTAGGCTGATCAAACAATAACAATAACTATAATAATTATAATGAAAAACAACTTAAATTCTTTATAATTTTAATTATAAACAATGCATAATCAGTTTGCCAATTTTTTTATTAATAATTTGTAAATATACCTACAATATGCGATTGTCAAAACACAATGACTGCTGGGTAGATATTTTATAATAATATGGTTGATGGGTTTTAATTATGTTTCAGCTTTTGAAAATAAAATACAACGTTAAAATATTATGACATTGAGTTTTTTTTCCCATTAACATCAAACCCAAATATATAATACCTATTTAGTATTTATGATTAATGTATGGACATTTTGCAATTATTACTATTTAGAATTTTTAACACGTGAAAATAGTAAAATACATAAATACATCAAAGTATGAGCATAGTCTACTTATATCTTTGGTTATTTTTAGTTGTAAATCAATTATTATTAGGTATAATATAAGAAATAATTGTTTCACTTACTATAAATGTAAATCAATTATTATTAGGTATAATATAAGAAATTATTGTTTCACTTACTATAAACCTGAGAAGTGATTACAAAAAGTAAAATTTCAAGTTGCTCACATTTGACAATATGTTAAATAGAAACTGATATAAACATTTAAGTTTATCGAAAATCTTCAATTTTGTAATTTTCATTTAAGAAAAACTCTTGGTATGCTGCGCTTGCCCTCAAACAAAAGTGATACAAAATTGAATATTCCCAAAATGCATGTTGACGTGTTTTAACCATATAGGTACCTAATACTAGTATATTATAAGGTCTATATGGTTGTAACTTCCTCCGTCTGCAGATTAAGAAAAAAAGAAAGCGGGTAAGTGGGTGTCGATCTGCTGTACAGTATAGGTTACAAGTTGGTCGTTGTAATTAATGGTATTACATTTTAATTTAATCATATAATATCATTGCATACGAAAGACAATTCTGAGCGGAGATGGTTTGTTAGTCTAGGATATTTTATATTATATTTATATTGTTAATACTTATTATTAATACGGTAGCCTGTTAAGTTGAAGTAATATATTAGAACATTAGAAAAAAATAACTAAAATCATATGTGTAATTTCATCAAAATTCGAACTTTAAACGTCTATGTAAAAAAAAGTTGCCTACGTATTTTTAATATTTTTCAACTGCTATTGTAACAATACATCAGTAGCCTTGTATTCAATTTTCAAGGATTTTGACCCAACAAATAACATTTCATTAAATGTAAATTTTGCATTTATATAAAAGAAAACTAAAAATATTGAAAATGTCCGTAACAGCTCAAAACTAGTCAAGGAATTTGAAAAATATCAAGTATAGGAATTGATAAAATAAAATGTATAGTGTGGAAATTTCAAGTGTTTACGGTTATTGGTTTTTTATTTACAACAAAATAAGAAAATCGCTACATGAGAAATCGAGTGAATATCTCCAATGTGGTGAGAATTTAAACTTCAAACGCTAATAAAAATTTAATTTGAAATTCCGATTGACATATTTTTTTTTTATTTTTTTTTCGATGGGGATAGACAAACTTATGAGGAATCTTATATTTCATTTTCAAATATTATATTAAAAAAGAAAATAATTTATGATTTTCTACACAGATCAACATAATAGTCAAAATCGCTCCGCTCAGAATCTAAAACAGATTCAAATTAAAGGTCTTCCTGTAAAAATATTTAGAGTTGAAATTAAATTCGGATACACTGTATAATGATAACGATGCAAGTAGGTATTATGCCATTTAGTATGACAATAAAAACATCATCTTATAAGTGCCGCTAGCCGTTAAATATAATTAAATGTATATAATGTTTATACGCCGTATAACTCGCAGCCAAATAAAGTATATACATGTTATTTTACACAATATACGAGCATAAAACCAATGTAAATCTGCGGCCGAGATGACTGTATACATAATAATAAAAATATAACAATTGTCGGCCCCACAGGTTACAGTAATATTATAATCGTTATATTAGAGGTAGGTAGTCTGTGATTTTTGAATATGAGTAATATGCTTATAATACAATACATTTATATATACGTATTCGTGTAGGTATATAATATGTAATAACTTTTATTTAAGTACTATATTTTATTTTATTTCTCATTATATTATATTTATAGCTATTCATAAAAGATAAGGTTACCTAATATTATACTTGAGAAATGGCGAAATATTTTCGTTTTAATTTTTATGGCATTTTACTAAAGGTTGGTTATAATACAGATAATATACTGCAATGGTTTTATGATAACATATAAAAGTTAAATATAAAAAATGTATCACAGAAATAGATCTTTAAAAGTAAACGTTTTTTATGAAAAACTTATTGAAAATGGTAACGTTGAAGATGGAACTTCTTGCTCCTGCTCCTGCAGATAATTTTGTTGTGAAAAATAATTTAATGGGTTAAATATCATTATTTTTCATTGCTTAAGTAATATTATGGAGTAGTAAAAAAAAAATGGAAATAAGAATAACGTACAATTTAAAAATAAATTTGCCAAATAGTCTATAATTAAAATATTTTTTATAATTATATGAATACATCGTTCCAACCTATAAACACATTTTAATTTTATAATTAATAACATATAAAAAAAATGATATTACATAATTATTTAAACTCATATGCCTATTTATAAGTGATTTAAAAATAAATAAAAATTCATTGTATATTCTGTGTAAGCGAAAAGTTGGTCATTCGGGTGGGTGCGTTTAAGTCAAGTGAATCATCGGGTAGAAAAGAATTGTTTGGCGAATAAAAGTTCAACTTTATGAAATTGACCATGACCCAGTAATATTAAGCTCATATAAGTATGCTCCAACAACTTCCATTTATTTTGAATGATAATAATTGTCAATTTACAAACATTAACGGATAGACATCATAGCTTCATCAAACAAAATATTGAATACCACTTTATTTATTATTGTTCCATAGACTGCCTACTGAATTATGTATAAATATAATATTATTGTACATACCTGTTAAAAAAAAAACGTCTAAATGTCCAAGATCGCTTGCTAAATTTCAAAAATGTAATTTTGTTATATAAAACTAAAAAAACAATGGGGAAAAAACAATAGTTGTACTGAATGACAATTATTATATAGATTTGTTATTTAAAAAAAGCTTTATTATTATAATTATGTACTAATTTTTTAATGTATGTAGTACATCATGATATCAACTAAAAGTTATAAAATATGTTTTAAACTGTGTACCTCATTCATTTAAATTATGATTGATAGTACACGTTTACGTGTTAAAGAAAATCAAATCATGTCGTTATTCTGCGTAGGTATGGATAAAAATGTATGAAACAAGTAAAAAATTGTTAAAACATAATATATTATATAATATTTAACACTTAATATTTTATTCTTAGCCAATGTAACAATAATTCGTCTGACACGTTTGGGTTTTTATTATATGTTACAGATGACGACGACGCCCGTCGTGGCCGCCATGATGGTGGTGGCGTTGGGTTGCGCGGCGGCCTTCGAATACGCTCCCGACCTGGCAGGCCGATACTGTTCTACCAGGCCTAGAGGTTGTTGCAAAGGCCGACAGGACGACTGTACCGTACCTATTCTGGACACGTTGTGCTACTGCGATGACTTTTGCAACCACACCCGGTCCGAAGACTGTTGCCCCGACTTCTTGCCTTTTTGTAAACACATAAATGTTCCTGTGGCTCCAGCGCCTATCAAAAGTGAGCAGACCTATCCCATCACAACTTAACCTTACTGTATACACGTATATGTATATACAAGTAATTAAACATGTATAATAGCATGTAATAGACTATGGGTTGATATATACCTCTTTTTTGGCGTCATTTAGTCCCCAGCCATCATAGACAATTCAATTTAATTATATAACATCACGAAATCACATAATACACAGGTAACTGTTGACTGCTGAGTTATACAGGTACATAATATATTGAAATGTTTATATTATATTATAATATCCGAGTATCATACAAAGGGTAAATGTAAACTGAGCCCGAGATTACCATTTTCGATGTAAACTCTTAACTTAACCGAATGATTACAGGCAGGCAATAAAAAAAGGTCGATTGAAAACTCAGCCCGATAATTTTCACGTCCTGATACGTTTCTATTGATGATACCTGCGTGTACGATACCAATATTGAGCAGTGTACATCAAATATTCAAATTTAAAGACCGTTAGATATATAATGTTATCAGTTATAGTTTATAAAGCCGTGACACGTCAACCAGTATTAGCCACTATAGGGTTAGTTTTAGCTTAGAAATATAACAATTAGTGGTTAAAATATCCATTTAGCTGAACTTGGAATCAATCCAAATGAAGTTTCTGTTTGTTTTGTCAAAAGTTTCTCATAAATGTCATGAATATGATGTAGATTATTTAGTAGAACAACAAAGAATAGAACTACATATTGAAGATAATGTGGCACAGAAGGGCTGTCGATAAAAACGTATCATTTTTATTTTGGGGAAAATGGGCAATTCCCAATTAAGTAACTCAACTTAACCTGACCTGAACTAAACCAACCAAAAAGTAGGGGGGAGTGTATTTATAACCACTGGTAAGTGGAGGAGTGATTCGAAAGAGTAATAGGAGACCTCTATATGTTAGGTAAAACATTTGGGAAAAATAATAATATATAGACAGATAAACGTCCAATTAGTTACTGCGATGTGCAAATGCCTACCTACCTATAATTTGATATACGTAAATTATAACTATTTGATTATCATCGTTTTTTTTTTATTAGTATTATTGTTCGCCAATACGCTAATTAAATATATTATTATGATAATTCACACTCTACCGTAATCAAATTATCGTTATTATTATTATTACTTATATTGTATCGTGTGTAGTGCGTGTACTGTGTAGGTACATAATATAAGGAATATTATACAATTTATACTCTCTTCATCCTGTGCGAAGCAGCTATTGTTTCGGAATTTTTCACGTCCTACAGTGCTATATTGTCGATTTCCTCCAGCTGTTTCATGTCCATTCACTTGCGAAATCCTGTAATAATGTCGTACAATTATTTTGCAACGTTAAAACAAAATACGGGTTCAAATAACATTTATTATAATATGATAATATTATTACATTGCCCGCAGTTACTGAACGCTGTTTGAGGATCGTGTTAGGTAAAGATTTTAACGCCCCGGGTCAACAAATTCATGTCGTTCTTTTTCTACTCCTAATTTATCGATCATGTTACACAATATAATATCGCATATATTACCTATATTACTTTTATAAAAAAAAATCTTTTCAAAAAGTGTCTCCCCTTTGTTCCTCTCCACAGAAATAATAAAATAACAAATATAGTCTTTTGCATATTTTCGTAATATACATATTATACCATAATGAACGATATTACAATATGAAACACCTATAAGATATTATTTTCCTATTTCGATTTCGGTTTCGGTTATTGATACCTATTTTTTTTCCAGTTTCGGTTTCGGTTTCGGATATTGGTATTTATTTTTTCCGATTTCGATTTCGGCTTTGATTACCAGTATTGATTTTTTTCGATTTCGGTTTTTAACGGTATTAAAAATCAGTATCCAGTATTTGTTTCAAGCCCTCACGTAGTGACGTATCACGTATCTTGTAGTATATTAATTACTACCGTTATTACGTTCATGGTGGTACACTGCAACTTCTCACAAATAATTTAGTCTGAAGTAGTGAAGTATAAACATGTGTTCAGTTATAAACTGGCTAAACCGCCAACTGTTATCATACTCCATTGTATTGAGATAAATTTCGCATCACCACTGCAGACGATACGGACGCGGTGCACTATGTAAACAAATTATGCACACTTTACAATGATAAACACACACAAATAGGTACATAATGATAATATTATGATGACAATAATGCTTATGGATAAAAATATGAACTAAGAATTAAGAAATAATTGTATATTGTTATTATCTGTGTTACTGTATCTACGTGTTTGGGACTCACTGAAAGCTTACCCGTCTTCACTCCTCAGGAAACCGTTATACCGCCTTTATATTGTATAATAATATATTAATGTTGTTTTCAATTATTATTTGTATTTCCATTAACCTTGTTAACCTAACCTAACCTAACTGTATTTTTTTTAAATTTAATTGATTTTCGGAAGTAAAAATAATTGATTTTCTCAATCTAAAAGGTACCTACTAATACAGGTACCATATAATATAGGTAGCTTCATTTATTTATATATACACTCACGCGATGTGTGATGAAATTGAATGTAAAATATATTTTACTACACGAAATAATGCATTCATGAATTTATCTGCTCATAGGTATTATTAGAATTCATATACATAAAGCATATTGTACGAGATATAATATATACAGTAGGTGTACGATCGTACATAAAATAATAATTATACATGAACAACGTCCTAATAATGAACCAATCTGGACTTACGGTCTTGAACTGTGTGGGTGCTGCAAGAAAATCGAATCTAAACAAAATCCAAAATTATTAAAATATCACTCTACGTCAACTTACAAATGCTCTACCATACATTTCAAATCTAATGCTCCACAATGTTTTACATGTTAAAACAATCTAAGAAGCATCTGTCTTTACAAATTACAAGCGATTCTTCTCACGTTTGGCAAACCATAATAACCCACTAATCAGTAACTTAAATACCTTAACGATTCCTAATAATCCTCGCCGCCGACTGAAAATAGTGCAGAGATATGTTGCATTAACTAACTCTAACTCGTCTCTCTCATAATATCTTATTACCTCATCTTTCACAATCACCCCTTCAGCAAATAGAGTCACAAGTGGCCAGTGGGTGACTTCTTAACCACGCATACCATGTTTTTCAGTATTTTTTCACATATACTTATTATGCTAAGTAGTGTAGATTGTAAATTTATTATAAAAAAAAAGTATAATTATAGACGTATTTAAGGTGAACACTGTACAGTGTACATATTAATATAATGTGATAATAATTAAATAAATATAACCAACCATTTAATTAATAACTATTTTATAATTTTTTTTACAGATTGTTACGCTAACGGACAGACGTATAAGTATGGAGAAACGGTCAACATCAATTGTAACGAATGGTTAGTAAAGTTGTTCCTAATTAAAATTAATTAACTCAGGTCACGAAACCGAGATTTCACAAATTATTGAGAAACAAAAATTAATTTAATTAAATCTAATACTATAATATATATATTATGTAGGTAACTATAATAGACGTGAAATTTTATATGAACTTTTAGGTCCAACTGTCCAAGTTGGATTTCCGGTTAATAATGCAAGACGGAGCCTTTGAATCAGTGTAGAATCTTATTTACGTTATGTCTCATCTAAATTTAACATTCGTAGACCCACTGCCACCCACTTACAGATCGTACCAATATTTTCTTAATGTATATCCATACTTAATGACATGACTTGTTCATCTCTGTTTTCAAGATCCCTACATAACTTAATATAAGAGGTTACTAATTGCTCTATAATTCTCTCTCTTATTCACTTCAAAATACATTTCCTTAATATAATAGAAATCCAAACCTTATTTAGAAAAATATTGGTCTCCAATAAAAATGTTATTCTCAACTCTGAATTACAGACAATAAATTTGTTTTTTATATCTATCTTTGTATTTTGTATTTGTATTTTATATTACATTACCTATGTTAGCTGTTACTAAATAGATGATACAACTTTTTAGTACTTAGATTGATACTAAATTTGTAATAGGACTAACTATCTGTATTTTTGAATAAATAGATAAATAAATAATAGTTTTCGAATGATTACCGTAGCCGATGCCAAGAATCCAATGGCAAAACACAAATGATGTGCAGCTCCAACGAGTGCCTCGTCGACACGTACATTTTGGATACGCTTAGGCACCAGGCGCACCGGTTCGGATGGTCAGCTGGCAATTACAGCGAATTTTGGGGCAGAAGATACGACGAGGGACTACAGTTGCGGCTTGGTACACTGCATTCCAAGAGAAAGGTGTGTGTGTGTGAGTCGTACTTAGAGAGTTGCATCTAAGTTTGTGCTCAATGTAATAACAATAATATAATGAATCATATCTAAATAATTTATAACATATGTCAATGGACGCGTTCTCAAATTCATATACCTACCTACCTATACCTTATAGTAGGTATTAATACTCTTATATGTTTATAACAACTTCAGGGTGACACCAATGACCATACGCCCTGTTAATATGGAATTGTCCATTTTGCCGTTCATGGGGCATTACGTCCCAAAATTCCGATAAAATTTAATCATGACACATTTTGTTATACCGTCGTACAAGTGGATCCGGTTTCGCTCACCTATTTTGAATTGAGCAGAAAAAAAATCCAGGGTTGAAAATATTTTTACTTTATCAGACAAACATAATACTTAACTGGACGTATTATAGTGTATAATTACACGTATCCGCGTATGATCGAACTTCTTTGTCTTTTAATTATATTTTATAATTACTACGATTTTAAAAGATTAAAAATGGTATAAGGTAACCCAAAATTAAAACTAAATTTATAAAGTATCGAACAATTAAGACATCCCGAGAAATCAGTCAACTTTATTGGAGGTGGTGCATTTATAATAATATGATAATTATTAGGGTTGGGCTAAAATTTAAGTACCATTTATTTAAAAAATATGGTCAACCTATTATGTTACACGCTGTTTGATTTCATACAATTCTAGTAATAATAATATATTGTAATGTTTCGTTATAAATTTTATAGTTTTGTTTTTCGTTTATATTTTGAATTGTAACGTATTGTTCAGATATTGCAAATGAAGCCGTTGAAAGCCGCGTTCCAGCGGGGTAAGTTGCGGCGGTCTTACGACGCCCGTGAAGTCTGGGGAAAATACATCTCGAAACCGATCGACCAGGGCTGGTGCGGCGCGTCCTGGGCCATAACCACGGTCCAGGTGACCACCGACCGTTTCGGAATCATGAGCAAACGCGCGATCGGCGACGTGTTGTCGCCGCAACACCTGTTGTCGTGCAATAATCTCAACCAGCAGGGATGTCAAGGCGGCCATTTGACCAGAGCTTGGAATTGGATTAGGAAGTTTGGGTGAGTTCGGAACACTAAGCGCAACCAAACAAGCCTGGATGAAACGGGAAGCTGGGAGGGGGTGGCCTAATAAACCTGTCGTCAGCCTAAAAGTGGTAGTTCATATTATAGAATTATTTTATAGAATGAAAATGATTAAAATATTTTACGATTTCATTATTATTAATTATTATTTAGCAAATTATTTTAAACACCTTATACCAAAACCAGTATAATATTATAGAAAAATTAATTTTGGTTTGATATTATTTTTAATTTATTTTATGTTTATGATGTACCTATATGCACCTATATTTATACATACCTAGTTTTAATATGTACGGATTTATTTTTGAGTTTTAGTAACATTTTAGTATTTTACTTTAAATTTGACGACCGTAATAAAGTAATTCTATAAAGTTCTACGTGTATAAAATATAATTTGGTTACACCAATTTTACTCGATTTTCAAATATTCGATAAAACAGCGAACTACCTATTATAGGATTTTTTTAATTTTTTTCCATCAAATGGGGCCCATAATCGCAAGACCTCTAGTGGATTTAATTTGCTCATGAAAATCATATGATGTATGAATTGAATTAATTTAAATGTTTTCAATAAAACCACTATGGTGTTCCACAGACTGATCACGGAGGAATGTTACCCTTGGGAAGGCCGAATGTCCACGTGCGCGGTGCCGAAAAAGAAGAAAGAGACTATGGCGCAGTGTCCTAGTCGTGTGAGGTCCAATAACGACCATACGACCAAAACTAGACTCCACCGGGTCGGTCCCGTTTACCGGGTGGCCACAGAAGAGGGTATCATGCACGAGATTTTGACCTCAGGACCAGTCCAAGGTACATATTATGTCAGACAAGATGCACGGCTTATTAGTGAATTATATTATAATATTAGTATGCTCATACACTATTCATAATTATGATTGATTATAGGTTTATTAGTGTAAAGGCGATTTTTTAGAGGGAAGGAATTAATACAATATTTGAAACCTATTGCCACCTAACTATGCACACTTGTTCCTAGATACTCGGGAAGTGTTTATAGCTTAGTTTTTCAACCCATACAAGTAATAGCCAATAGGTTACTACATGGTGGCTCACATAGCAAAAATTTCAAAATCGAATATTTATTTTTTAGTTATAATTTAGGTATAGGTTTGTGGTGATCACCATAGGTTGCAGAAATAAATGAGACTGGCACTTATCTGAAATAAAAAGAAAACTTATAAAATGATGCAAAATGTATGGACAAGTTGGAAAGACAAGCTGTCCGATTATAAAGAGGGATGGTAAAATTTGATTGTACAGGGCGAGAAAATTCTTGATAAATCTTTGAATATTATAGCTATAGTAATCAGTTCTGTTATAACTATATATATATATATATATATATAGAATTATAGATTACCCTAAACACATTATGCATACTACATAATATTATAATGTCTTATTATAGGTGCCCGTAATCCTTTTGTGTGCAAACTCTGTCAAGGTTCGAACAAGTATAGCGGTCTGTAATTACTTGAACCTAAATACACATACACGTGCGCGCTTACGACCTTCACAATTCGAAACACACCTAGGCCAGATTTTAACTTTACCGTTCTTTATCTGTGTTATTTTTGTATTCTTAACTGCCTTAAAGTTATACCTCGGGCTACCACCTATATTGTAGCTTATGACTACATAACTTGTGTTGATGGCCAGCCGTCGTAATAGATGAATGCATTATATACGTGCCAATTATTACGAACCTAACCTATGTATACAAAACGCGGTATTAATAATCGTCTGTTTTGCGTATGGAATTTTAAGACAAACTATTCGGTCTTACCAACTAGCTAGACAGTACGGCTGTAAACCTACCAGCTTTTACGAAATCGAATAAAAACGTGTAGGTATTAGCACAGTATTGCACATAATATATTGATCGAGCATCGTGAGTGAGCGAACTCAAGGCAGTCTCTGCAAATATTGTTCTGGTTTGAATAATTTGTGCAGCAAAGGTGAACACGCTAGGTACGTAAGACAATACAGTCCCAACTCGTGTTTGTTGCAGTGACAATACGAGTTTTACAACAATAAAGTTCTTGGGCAATACGATTTTTAAGACAATTACTGTTTGACAATAAAACCATATTTCAATACGGCACAATGACAAATGTGTACAATGGTATTTGCAGTTTTCTAATTTAAAAATCAAATTTTTCGCATTTACATCAGCGTTCAGAATCCTACTAGCTGCTCGTATAAATATATTATTGATTTTGAGATGCGAACGAAATATAATATACCTTTGTAGCACACATATGAAACATATCACATACAAATTTCACTCCGTACCTATACTGTTGTAGTGTTGTATAATTGTAATGCTCATTTCCGCATTATGTACTAACTGTGGTCGTCTATAAATATTGAACTTATAGTAAATTATGAATATACATATAGGAATTTAAAGATTACCTATGTGAGTGGTGTGGTGTGCAAAACATTTTAAGAGTATCATAGTTATATATACTGTCACTTCACTTCTCTTATCTATAGTCTGCACTACCTACAGACGACTATAATATATAATAATATTTAAACTGTATAGGGTGATAACATAATATGATGTGTTTCGATCGATATAATTCACCGGTGTTGATTTCAATCAACAATTTACTGAAAACATCACACTGTATATGTTTTCGTTATTGCTCATTTACTTTTAATACTATATAGACATTCGTTTACCTTGTGTTTGATTACTATTGTGAATAATATTGTTTAAATAGCTTTGAAAATAGTATTATTAAAATTGTAGACTTTGTGTTTGGTTTAGGACTCACGGTATGATTTTCTAATTTTGACACAAATCCAGGATAATCATTACATTATTTCACTCGACCGTTATACAATTTCCTAGTTACATAGGACTACGACTCCTGCGCAGTTTAACTAAATATAAATAATAGTAATAAGCAGATAAAAAAAAAAAAAAAAACGTTCCTACACCCAAATAATAATTACATTTACATTATATAATAATTATTAACTAATAACTATTAAACTGATACGCATATCTAATAAGGTGGATATATATTGTTTTGTGTTGATGTATTATATTATGGAATGATATTAAGTTAATCGTATACCTCATATTTTTGCAGCCGTCATGAAAGTGTCCAGAGATTTTTTCATGTACAAATCGGGCGTGTACAAATGTTCGAATTTGGCGTCCGGATCGAGAACAGGATACCACTCAGTGAGGATCGTTGGTTGGGGTGAAGAGTATCAGGGCGGCAGGATTGTCAAATATTGGGTATGCCAGACGCAAATAATTAAGATTAATTAAACATTTTTTTTTTTAATTAGCCTAGTTTATTGTAAGGATAATATATAACATACATTTTCAAATCCTACCCCCCCCCCAACTGCTGTTTTAAACTATACTAATATTATATTGTCTGTATTTTTAGATTGCATCGAACTCGTGGGGAAGTTGGTGGGGCGAGAACGGGTACTTCCGGATACTGAAGGGCGTTGACGAGTGCGAGATCGAAGATTTCGTCATCGCCGCGTGGGCGGACATCGACGACTTTGACGTAACCGGGAATCCGCTGGGATATGATGTGTTCCTGTTGAATGGTCCAAAGTCAAATTCCGTCTGAACGAGAGCCGTGGAACGAATAACGAACATATATAACCTAATCGCGGTCTGAACCAGATAATTGGAAAAAAATTCTACTCCACAGTATCTCCAACCATGCTGGACCACAAATATGCATATACCTACATATATATATAAGTACGATGGACAAAAGTAGACAAAAAAATAAATTTAAAAAAAAAAAACATTTTATAAACGAACTTCGTTCGGTATTTATAATCGCTACTTATATAATAATATATATATATATATTGGATTACCATATTTTAAAATATACCGATTTGTCCACAGAGTGATTTACACTTTAATCAAGTAACATAAAAACATGACTGATAACCATCTCAAACACAAAATTTTGAACCCAACACTTTCTTGTCTTACAAAAAAAAAAAAAAAAATACTGTAGCACCGTGACCAATCCACCATAGGAGGATTGTCCACCTTGCAGGTCCTATATGTCCACGGAGACGATGTATATTTAGGATTCACGAAAGCATTTATTCATTGATAATATAATTAGTTTAAAAAAATTCCAGTCTTAAGCTATTGATTCTAAAAACTATGGTAATTCACTAGAGTGCATGATTAAATTAGATTTACTTATAACAAATAGTACCTACCTACCATATATCTTTTCTTTGTATATTAACCGTTAAAGTAAAAGCCAAATGTAAAAATGTGTTATATCAAAATACCAAGCACTATAGGATTTACTATTCAGTATAGAATATAGATTGTATTTACTACAAAGGCCACTAACTCTCCAGAAATTAACTTTTGGGAAAATAGGTAAAAGAATTACTTGGAAATTCTTTGTGAATAATTGGATGAATAGGAAAAAAGAAGGTACTCCATGTAAATTGTATATTACGTGATTAATATAACGATTATTGTTTAAATTTTAACGTCAGAACTGCTTGTCCTACGATCTTAGGTCAAACATATACATTTTCTTAATAGGAAATTTTCCGTTAAGCATAATATGCTAAAAAAACTAAAAATAAACAGACCACGGAAGAACACGTTCAAATGAAATCTGTCAAAGTTAAAAATATATGAAAGGACATGAATTTTCATATTTTGTTTGAATCAATTAACTATTTTAAATTTTGTTCATATTTTTATAAACTTGATCTCTACTTTGGAAGTTAATTTTGCTTCACATACGTTCTGTTTAATTAACTAATATGTATTAGAATTTTTTTTTTGTCTGAATTATTTTAAAAATATTTATTATTTTGGATTCATTATAATTAATAACACTACATTTCATGTTGATATTAAATTAAGTTTAATTATATTTAGTAAAATTAAAGGTAAAAATGTCCATTGTTCTATTGTTTATATCCAAATTTATTCATATTATAATCTGAGCCTAATCAATATAATTGTAAGAAAACACATTTTTTATGTTTTTGACAAACTTATATAATGTGGAATGCAATGCCACAAAAGGTTAATTAAGAATACTAAGTGAGAAATATAAATTTGTAATTTTAGTATAAATTAAATTAAAATTTTAACACAAGGTTTTTATATCTTATTAATACTGTATGAGTATCCTTTTTATTGTAATTATTGAAATATTAATTACAAGTGCAATATACACATCCTAAAATATAGTTACATATAAGTCATATTCTAAAAGAACAATTAAGGTGAGGAAAATATAATTAATTGAATATAAGAAAACAACAACATATGCATAAGCCGTTATGAGAAAATTAACGAAATTGCGAATTTAGTTCAATTTTACTATTAGAAATAGCTTTAATAAACTTCCCAAGATCCAGAAAACGTACGAAAACAAAATCACTAAGTTTCTCGATTTTGTTATCATTATTATTTCTGTACAGGTTTAGGTTATTGAGTTTTATTTATTTTATACTGATGTCTTGTATAAACATTTAGTTTTATTAATCAACATACATTTAACAATACTATTAAAATAGAAAGAAAATCAAACATATCAAGATAATAAAAAATTAATTTCGGTACACGAATATATTCTCTATTCAACTAAATACAGCATAATAGCATGACTAATGTGAATTATGCACAAGTAAGTACCTATATTATATTTATCAAGTTTTCTATTCATTCCTAACAAAAAAAAACATTGTGTAAATACTAAAAATTTACTAATAAAATATCTATTACCTACTTACATTATAATGTATAACTGAGTGCAGATTAAGTGTATGATTTTCTTGAAAATAATAATATATATTAATTATTCAAAAAACTAAAGAGTCAAAAACAATCGTCAGTTCATCATACTGAAACAGTAGATTAAAGTAAATAAATTAATACATTTTAAGTTTAATTGAAAGCACCTCTATTCGATGTTTTTTAACGGATGCGGAATTATCATCTATTAGGCTAGACAATTGCGATCAGTTTTAATTTTTTGCTGTCTATTTTATGATTTCTCGTGCTTGTTTTAGATTCTGTAATGATATATTTCGTATGATATGATAATGGTAATATATTTTTATATACCTATATGGTTGACATTGGTTACAGAAAATAAAATAATTACCAGACGTGTTTTGCGAAGGTAACCATGATAGTAAACGATTTATGAATATGACATATGAGGTTTGTTAAAAAAAAAATACATTATCTAGGATACCAGAAGCACTAAACTGTTGAAATAGTCGTTTACTGATAGGACCAAACATTTTTGTAAACAGTAAACATTTTTTATATAAAATGATCGTCCAAACGAGTTTTGCTCTCGGTACTTCCGTAAAAACAAAGCTTATTATAATTGGATATGATTTCAAAATAATTGTAATATTGGAAACTTCATATAAATATATCTAGATGGTGGAGATTTATCTGGATAAACCTTGATTTTCTAACGGGTAATTATGTCGCTTATTCTAGGGTTACAACATATAGCTTTAGAAAATTGACTCTTCACTATAAAATATACCTACAGTTATTTTCAAAATTATAATATCCAACCATGAAAACGATTTTAATTTCTGTAACCATTGGCAACCATATAATTAATATATCATGTACCTATACGAAAAAACATTAGATTTATGTTTTCGAAACAAAATTCCTGTTTTGTAATAGTAAAATAAATAAAAAAAAATTTAATCGTCAAATAAATTAAGTACTTTAATCACAACATTATATCATAAAATACTTAGTTATATAAAATATTATAGGCTGGCAGAGAGATTTCTCTTAGAATAGTTTTTCTTATTCAATGATTTTATATCAAAGAATTTAAATTTAACACCGTACAGCAGAGCGACGCCCAAAAGCACTTCCTCGCTTTTTCGTTTATTGATTATAAAACAACACATAAATATATTATGTGATATTCAAAAACTAATTGTAGTATTGATAATTAATTTTTCTAACAATTAAGTGATAAAAGAAAATAATACTATACCTAATAATTTATTCTTACATTTCACATGTAAGTATACCTATAAAAAATTATAATATTATTTGTTTCAACTATAAAATATTATATATATTAATTTAAATGTCCTGTTAAGAAATTACAATTATGTGTCTTTGGTATTTTATAATGTAGGAAATTGTCCTCCACCCTGTTTGTCGATTGGTAAGCTCAACTGCTCAAGGGCTAATTAAGTCCGTGAATGTTAGTGGTAATTGCAATAGAGGTGGGTTGTCCGCTGGATTACTGGTCCACGTGGTCCATGTTTTCTTATTGAAGTCGAAAACCCCTTAAAAATAAAATTATTTATATTAACTCTGTATGAATACACCAGTTAGAAGTTACACGTTTTGAAATGATACTCTCCAAACGTAAAAGAAAAGTTTTAATTTAAAGTTTGCGTGAGTTGCAATACGTTTCAAAATCAAACTTGAACATTATAATATACGTAAATATGTAAATGTTAATGTTATGAAAATTTAAATGTTATTATGTCTATACTATTAAATAGCTTAAAATTAGTCTCATTATTTTGAAAATTTCATTGTGCAATTTCACAGTGAATAATTTCAAGTTTCTACGCCTAATATTTTTTGTTTAATCATAAAATAACAAAAATCGTTAAGAGGGTAAATTTTTATTAGGTATACGTTTGAATAAATAACACTTAACTATAATATTGTAGACATTTTAACATCTGCAATCGTTCCTAAAAACATCCAATAAAATAAACTTATGACTAGGGCTCGGAAGTTGTTGCATTTGCATGATTTTTTTGAACCATTAGATTTATTGCTAAGTAAGCTAGAAATTCATTTCAAGACACTACGAAAAACATATCAAAAGTTTATAGTGCATATTTTTGCATATTTAGTGATTTTTAGATTTTAGAGCATATTTCTTAATTTTACAATTTTTTAAAGCATATTTTATAATTTATGGATATTTAATATGAAAATTTGTAAATAAAAAAATAAATACATTCATATTCAGAGATCTTACTAGATATTCTTGAATCTTATTATTCAAATTTCCATTTGACATTAAAAACTATGTTTTTCCTCTATTGGTTAATATGATATTATATAAATATATACCTATATAAATTACAACTACAGCTAGCTTTATCTAAAATAGAATATTATACAAATCTAAAATAGAAACAGCTGCTATCGAAATACGACGATTTTCTATAAATACTTTTATAGGAAAATAACTCAATGATTATTGACTATTGTTAATGGCATTTATAGATTTTAGGTATTTCAGGTATATAAATATAACTCGACAGAAGTGCATTTTTTTATTCAAGGAACATTTTTAATTATTAAAGCGATTTTTTTATTATTTTTTTGTTTAAATTATGATTAGAAAATATAAATAATAATAAATTAATAACTTATATTACTTTGCTTTTTTTTTTATTTACAAATTTAAAAAAAATATTTGTACAAATGAAAATGTTGTGTAAAATAATTAAATATAAGTGCATATTTTTAGAGCATATTTGTAGTTTTTTAAGCGCATAAGTACATGCATATTTAGTACTTTTTAAGTGCATTAAGTTCCGAGCC